TTAAATGTGATGCCCAAGGATTGCATTTTCAGAAGGTGTGCAAAAGATATTACTGGTTCAGAGCTACTGTTACCTGGAAGGATAAAGTTTGCCTAACTTCCTTGCTATATTCTACATATATCTTAAAATTGAATATGTTTTTCAAGATGAATGGCATTTTGAGGCTTTATAATTTGGGATGAATCTGTATTTGATCTAATGGGACTGTAAGAAGTCCTGGAGGCACAAATGGTTTAAGGGCTTGGCTGGCAATCAGAAGATGGTCAGCTTGAACCCATCCAGCGGCTCTGCTAGAGAAGGACCTGGCAACCTGCTTCCATAAAGATAACAACCAAGAAAACCCCAAGGGGCAGTTCTGCTCTGTCACCACGGGGTTGCTGTGAGTTGATAAGGACTCAGTAGCACCTAACAACAACAATGAAACTGTAAAATGATAGCATTCTTATTTATCTAAGGTATGAAGACCTGAATGTAGGTGATGCCATTAAACCTATTGCCCTATAGTGGATTTGGACTCATAGCAACCCTAGAGGACAGAGTAGAACAGCTCCATAGAGTTTCCAAGGCTGTCAGTCTTTACAGAAGCAGACTGCTGCATCTTTATCTTGCAGAGCAGCTGGCGGGTTCCTATCACCAACCTTTATTGGTTAGTAGCCGAGGTCTTAACCACTGCACCACTAAGGCTCTTGTTACTTAAGAGTAATAAAAGCTATAAATAGCTCTGAATGTCTTGGGTTTTCTGCAAAATGAATGGTAACTCTCTGACACTTGACTACTCTTGTTTCTTGGCCATCACCAACATGAATACCAGCAAATAAATATCTAGGAACTCTACTGATATTCCCACATGCTGCAGATATCTTTGGTAGAAAACATTGAAACACCAGGTACAGTTTTGTCAGGAGTACCACCTGTGTTTTTAATTTATCAATAAAATTGGGATATGCCATATATACATGTTTTGTTTTTTACTTTTATTGTGAAAGCACCTGACAAGACAAATATGAAACAGTTCACGAATTTGCATGTCATCCTGGCCCGGGGGCCATGCTAATCTTCTCCGTATCATTCCAATTTTAGTATATATGCTGCCGAAGGGAGCAGTCATGTATACAATGGTTGAGATATCATGACTGATTATAAAAAGTAGCACATGACCCACGTGGAAGTGTTCAAAGAAGGAGAAAACTTACAATCCTATTTAGTCACCTCTGGTTGTTTTTGGTCAGTATAGAATTACAAACTATTTCTTGTGCCATTACAAACACAAGGAGCAGTGTTTTTCCCAAAGCAAATTACAATTTGATTGAGGATGACGTGAAAATACTAGTGAAATCATAATCAGCTCAACTGCATACAGCATAACAACTAGAACATGATTGTGTGACATTACTGAAGTGTAACTCGCACACCACTTGTATCAGTACAGAATGCTTGGGTAGCACAGGGTAAAGTCAGTGATCTCAGGACAGTGGGTTTAGGAATGATTTATTTTCTTATTTAAAAGTTCTCAAATAAATGCATATTTTAGAAAAGTTCTTTTCAGTTATAGGAGTGCTTATAAAAATAAGGCCAATAGGCAGCCTTAAAGAAAAAATCCCTAATAGACAATAACTTACATATCACTTTCATTAAGTTGTTTTGGAGGTAGCTTGATGGTAGACGAAGGAGCTTGGATGGACATAGGTGTTAGATGGAGATTTCAAAGCTGACTTCACCGTGTGACCCTGGGCAAGTGACTTAGCCCCCTAGATCTTACTGGCCGCACTGTACAACGAATGTGATAATAGTATCTCCCTTGCAGAGTTGTGCTACTTCAATGGGGAAAGATAGATAAACACCTACACAGTTCTGGGCATAGTAGGGGATCCTATACTTGTTAATTCTCTTTCCTGCCTTCACCTTATTTAAGAACAACTCCATCTAGTTCAGCAGGGCAGAATTGTAGTAAGCAGTCAGTTGGGATTTGGAAATAATTGTGTAATGTAGAATTAGATTATTGGCATTAAAAATCGATTCTAGCTGTGCTTTGATAGATGCACCAGGATCTCAGAAGTGACCTTTCTCCAGAAAGCCTGTTGAAGTACATATAGTTGACTGAAGTTTTGTTCTGTTTTGGTTCTAGGTAGTAACTCAAAAGAGTTCTCTCTTAAAAATTATTTACTGCACCACTGGGAATGTTGGGAGTTTTCAGAAAGCATTTTTGTGTACTTAAGAGTTGGCAAGGGAAATCTTGAGGGAGATGTCATAATCAGTATTGCATGAGTTTCTTTGAGCCTCAGTGATTTATAACTTTGTCCTTTTTTCACAAACTCTCTTCAGAATGTATGCTCATCTGTCTTCCTTTTCTTAAAAAGTGCTTATTCTTCACAATGGATTGGTTTAATCCTTCTATCAGGTATAGTTAGCATGCAGTACTTAGAATAATTAAGATACTACCTTAATAGAAACGTGCCAATACCTCACTTCTCTTCTTGCAAACTCATTTAGACCTTTATTAAAATCAGTATCGATTCATGAAAAATAAGTGTTAGAGATTAAAAACAAACTGTAGTAAGGCTTCAGTTAACACCCCTCCCACCCCCACCCCCGCCTTTTGCTGTAAAGAATAGAAGAAAGGAAATAATTGACAAGAGGACCTAGATCAGGAATTCTGATTTAGTGGTGGTAATTCTTTTCCCTGATCACCAACCAGTCAAAATTGGGGGCCCGGTGAGTGAGGCTGCCAAACAGCAGGAGCGCTGAGGCTGTGCTCTCCTTAGAAGAACAGGAAGTTGCTTTAATGAGAAGGAAGGCCTTTCCCTGAGTTCTGATCAAGGATTGACTCAAAGCCAAGTTTGGCCTCTAATTTTGCCCTTTGAGTTGGAGGCTCCCCAATGCTGCCTTAGATGAGATGGTAGAGCAAGCAGGCGAGGGGCTTGCTGAGCAAGAGGGTGCTGTAGCTGCCTTGGGAGAGCCCTAGGAGTCAGTGTAGCTTTCTAGAGTAGCAGTCCTGGGATTTCTTAAGCCTCGCTTTACACAGAGCTGTCCTAATGGCTATAGAAACGGTGATCTGGACAGGAAAACAGGCTTTTTCTACTACGTATATGATGAAAATGTCTTTTAAAAAGAGGGGTAATGATTGTGTGCCATTTCTTAGTGGAATTTAAAGTCTTTGAAGGTAGTTATTGAATGATTCTTAATCTAAAACTGCTCATAAACTTTTTTGATGCAGTTTTGAATTTTCTGGAAGTATGCTTTCTTAATCCTTTCACTTTTACTGTGAGACTAATGCCTTTACTTTCTAATACACTACTCTAATTTGTGAGTAAAACACAGAAGTAACTTCTTTAAACACTTTAGTTTGAAGAGTTTTTGCTCCTTTTAGTTGTATGGATAGCTGCTCGGCTGCTAACCATAAGGTTGACACTTTCGAAGCCACCAGCCGCTCCACCGGAGAAAGATGAGGCACTCTGCTTCGATAAAGACTGACAGCCTTGGAAACCCTTTGGGACAGTTCTCCTCTGTCCTGTAGGGTTGCTAGGAGTCGGAATCGACTCGACAGCAATGGTGTTTTTTTTTTTTTTAATAAAGCTGCTTATGTCTGTTTAAACTTGGGTATCTTTTATAAACATGCCATACAGAATTCTGAAAGTATTTATTATGGTCAAAGAAGCAGATTTAAATCAAATGCACATAGCACTGAAATTGCCAAATAAGCAAATATATTTTCTGTTATCTCTCCTCCTTTTCTTTAATTCCTATTGTAGAACTTTATGGAACAAGTGATACACACCACAGTACCAGCAAGTTTAAAGGATACCCTCTTTTGAACTGTCTTAAAAATTCAAAACTACCCAGTTGGAAAAAAACACCAAACCCACTGCCATCGAGTCAATTCCGACCATTAGCGACCCTCAATCAGTTTCCAGGGCTGTAAATATTTGCGGAAGCAGACTGAGTCATCTTTCTTCTAGGGAGCAGCTGGTGAGTTTGAGCCACCAACCTTTTGGGTTACAGCCAAATGCCGTAACCACTATACCACCAGAGCTCCTGACAAGGAAGTTTAAAAATAATGATAACCCAAAAAAAAAGGGAAAACTGGTTTAACTCTGACTTCTTGAAAAGATTCTCCAGTTTGGTTTTGAAATCTTACATGGTTCAATACATACACACATACACACACACACACACATACATGCATACACACATAGATGTCATGTGTATGCATGAAAGATTCTCTGGTGGCACACTGGGTAAATTCGGTTGGTAACCAGGTTAGTGGTTCAAACCCACCAGCAGATCCACAGGAGAAAGATGTGACAGTCTGTTTCCATAAAGATTGATAGCCCTGAAAAGCCTGTGGAGAAGTTCTATGTCTTGTAGGGTCACTATGAATCGGGCCCAACCAACTTGATGGCAGTGGGTTACGTACCTGTATGATAGTATACAGTGGGGTGTGCTTTGCAATATGTATTTTTAAAACCAAACATGAATTATTCATTTTTTAACTTGGGCAAAGTAATAGGAAAAAATGGAAAACTGATTCAGGAGATTGTGGACAAGTCAGGAGTTGTAAGAGTGAGAATTGAGGCTGAAAATGAGAAAATTGTGCCACAAGAAGCAGTATGTTATTGTACGTGTGTTTCTGGGTTGTCTGAAAAAAAATAGAAGTATTTTTTGATGGTTTGTTTTCAAGGCCTCTGTACTGTACAGGTAATGTAAAAATTCTGCCTGAGAGAATTAAGGTTACAGGTGTAGACAATGGCCTCTGTCCATTCTCTAGTGCTGTGACTTTGGCTTGGTCACTTGCCCATTTAAGTCTCATTTCCCATTCTTGAAAATGAAACCTATGTCATGGGGTCACACATTGTGACAACCTAATGAAATAATGTGAAAGTGCTTTATTTGTATTACATTTTTCAAATGTTACTGTTGCCGACAAAGACAAAAGTAAGACACTGTTAGTTTTTCTGACTTGCACACTTTGGCTTTTTAGTTTGGGGATTTGGCATGTGTGTGTTTATTCTCTGGGCTTTAAATTTTGATCTGGCCTAACATATCTCTTTCCTGTGGTTCTCATCTTTAAATTTGGTAACTGTCATTTTTATTTTCATGCATTTATGTTTTTGAAGAACAACTTTTCAGAAGTATTTGTTAGGGGGTTGGGGAGGCCAAGTGTGTGCTTTTCTGTACCAAACAATTTAAATCCTGTCCCCCCCAAGTGCCATGTTTTCTCATACTGACTAGCCTCTTTTCTTTCGTGAAACATTCTTTTAACTGAAGTGCAATCGTTGGAGGGAGGGACTCTTGCATATTTATTTAGTGATGATTTTGCATTCTGTGATTTTATATGCCAAAGCTGGTAATAATAATTTACATTTGTTAGTCAAAATATGATCATTGACACGATGCGAAATGACTTCTTAACAATCGTTTTTCTTTCCTCTTTTGTGTTTTTTACTAAGGAAATTATTCCACCAAATTCCCTACCTTCCAACAATACAAGGGTTGGACCTAGTCCCTCAGAAGAAAAGAAACTTTTAGATATAAAGGAAAACAGTGCCCATTTTTCTCAACCTAACAGTACAAAAGTCCAGAGGGTAAGAAATATTTGTCCCTTGGAATTATACTAAACAGAATTTCTTCAACTCAGATGTCACAGTTGGTGTTTTGGGTGTTTTCTCTGGTTAGACTTGTAGACTACTCATGTTCTATTTTTTCCAAATCTGATTGTCAGCTTATGAGATAATACAAAGCAAAATGATGCCATGCCTCCCCTGTATTCACAGTGACAAATTGTATGCCGTAAACGTAAAATACGGGGTTGCCATTAATGATTACATTTTTCTTTTGAGGGTGGACTTTGGTGTTTTCGTGCTGTACCTCTTGAAATTTTGCAGGTGTAGTAATTCAAAATGTACCTTCTGTTAGATGTATTAGTTACTACTTAAAGCCAGATATTAGGATCTGGTTTTCAGTATTTGAACTGACCTAAATATTTAGAAAATGGGTTTAGAAGTCCTACAGTGAAAGTCCTGCGTTCAGGCTTCTGTGTATCATTTGTTATAGTTAATGACATCACTTGCATTCCTTATACTGCTTTAGGTGTTAGTGGTTTCATCAATTGTAGCAGGGGAATCCCAGAAACCTGAACTCAAGGCTTGGCAGGTAGGAAAACATTCCTTGAAAAATACATTTTAATTTTATATTTTACTGTTTCTTCCCCTTGTTAAAAAGACTACAAATGATCATCAGGTTGGGGGATGGTGGAAGAGTGTTTGTGGGTATGTGTGTCCATTGCCCTGCTTCTATATCCTTAATGTTGCTTAGAAGACCCTGCAAGGTTACTTCTCTTGTGTCTTCTCTCCCCATTCTTCCTACTTACACTCTCTAGAAGTTTGAGCCATACTGAAGTATTTAGAGTGCTTCAAACATTATTATACTGTCTGTTGCTTTGTTTGCCTGGAACACTCTTTTTCCTCTTTGGGTAGCTACCTTCAACTTGCCTCCTCTGCGTTGGTGTGACTTCCTCTGAAGCTTTCCTTAGGTCCTTGCCCCAAGTGCTTTTCCTCCTCACTGGCTCCCTGTGCCCCTCTCTCCAGCCCTGATTGCACAGATGATTTCACCTGTTGGTCTTCCTACCACCTTGTAAGTTCCTCGAGGGCAGTGCATTACCTGGCCTGTGAGAACTTTTTACAGAAAAAAATGTTACAGTTTATAAGAGCTTAAGATAAGATATGCCATTTTACAAAGAGAAAGTTGACTGGCTATGCCTCTATGTTTGGCAGCCCCATTCTCCTCCCAGAAGAGAGAATCACTTTCCTCATGTCCATGTTGAAGGCCACCAGTCTACTTAATTGTTTTACTCTCACTTTTCTTCATTTTAATACTCAGGTCCGTTAACAGTGTGCGTAAATGAAAGTGGCACTTGGGTACAGCAATACTTTGGACATCTTGCAAGAGAAAATGTTTTTAAAAGATTTGCTCCAAAGTCGACCAAACTAAATCTGTGAAGTAGGGTTTTACAGCTTATTTCGGTGATATTTGACCCAGGGGAAAGTGTGTACCATGTCATCATATGGCATTTTGGGAAATAACATGGCTGACTGCTTTATAACAGTCAAGTTG